TGGTTCTATAATGGACACCAATGGAAGCAGCAGTCAGGACATCAGACGATGTATAGCACTGGGCAAGTCAGCTGCAAGGACCTCTGTCAAGTGCTGAAGAGCAAAGATGTCTCCTTGAGGACTAAGGTGCACTTGACACAAGCCATTATATTTTCAATCACCTCATATGCCTGTGAGAACTGGACAATGAATAAGGAAGACCGAAGAAGAATTGATGGTTTTGAGTTGTGGTGCTGGTGAAGAATCCTGAATGTACCATGGACTGCTAAAAGAACTAACAAATCTGTCCCGAGGAAGTGCAGCCGGAATGTTCCTTGAAAGCGAGAATGGCCAGACTTCGTCTCACCTATTTTGGTCATGGTATCAGAAGGGACCGTTCCCCGAAGAAGGATGCCATGCTTGGTAAGGTGGAGGGTCAATGAAAGAGAGAAAAGGCCCTTAACGAGACGGACTGACACAGTGGCTGTGGCGATGGGCTCAAGTATAGCAAGGATCACAGAGCTGGCGTGGGACTGAGCGGTGTTTTGTTCTGCTGTGCATAGGGTTGCTATGAGTCGGAGACAACTTGACAGCACCTGACAACAACAACAACAATCCTAAAGTTCAATGCTGTCAGTGATAATATCCATACGCATACAAGGAAAACTAGTTATCACAAATATTGCTCAAATTTACATGCCAACAACTAAAGCTAAAAATGAAGAAACTGAAGATTTTTACACACGCAGTTTGAAATTATCAGGATGCATTGATAATTACTGGTGATTAGAATGTGAAAGACAGAAATGAAGAAGAATAGTAGCTGGAAAACATGACCATGGTAATAGAAATGACATGAGAGAGATCACCAGAATTTTGCAAGACCAAAGATTTACTCATTGCAAATACGTTTTTCAACAATATAAATGGTGACTATACATGTAAACTTTGCCAGATGGATGGATACACAAGAATCGAACTGACTACATCTATGAAAGAAATGATAAAGAAGTTCAATTATCCTCAGTCAGAAGAAGGTCAGGGGCTGACAGTGGAACAGACCATCAATTGTTCATGTCTAAGTTCAAGGTGAACTGTAGAAATTTAAAATAAGTCCACAAAAGCCAAAATATGACCTTGATTATATCCATCCTGAATTTAGAGACCATCTCAAGATCTGATGAACTGAATACCAATGACAGAAGTCCAGAAAAGTTGTGGAATGATATCAAGGACATTATACATTAAAAAGACAGAAAAGAAAAGCAAGACCAAAATGGATGTCAGAAGAGGCTCTGAAACTTACTACTGAACACAACTAAAATGAATGGAAGAAATAACAAAGTAAAAGAGCTAAAGAGAAGATTTCAAAGGGTGGCTCAAGAAGACAAAATAAAGTATTATAATGAAATATGTGAAGAACTGAAGTTAGAAAACTAAATGAAAGAACACATTTGGCATTTCTCAAACTGAAAGAACTGAAGACCGAGTTGCCATACTGAAAGATAATAAGAGGAAAATGCTGAACTAAGCAGGAAGCATCAAAAGATGATGGAAGGAATACCCAGTTACTACACCAAAAAGAACTGGTCAATATTCAACCATTTCAACAGGTGGCATACGATCAAGAACCAATCATACTGAAGGAAGAAGTCCAAGCTGTACTGAAGGAATTGATGAAAAGCAATTCTCCAGGAACTGAAGGAATACCAAGTGAGATGTTTCACAAAAGGATGCAATACTGTAACTGTTTATCTGTTTTTGCCAAAAATTTAGAAGACAGCTACCTAGCCAACTGAATGGAACAGATTCATATTTGTATCCATTCCAAAGAAAAGTGATTCTCCACAGAATGCTGAAATTATCAAACTATATCATTAATATCACAAGCAAGTAAAATTTTGCAGAAAATAATTAAACAATAAAACAATAATTGCAGTAGTACAAACTGGTAACTGCAGAAATTCAAGCCACATTCAGAAGAGGTCTTGGAATAAGGGATATCATTGCTGATGTCAGATAGGTCTTAGCTGAAAGCAGAGAATACTGGAAAAATGTTTTCTTGACTATGCAAAAGCATCTGACAATGTGGATCACAATATATTATGGATAATAGTGCGAAGAGTGGAAATTCCAGAACATTTCATTGTGCTCATGAAGAATCTATACACAGACTAAGATGCAGTCATTCAAATAGAACAAAGAGAGAATGAATGGTTAAAATCAGGAAAGGTGTGCATCAGGGTTGTATCCTTTCATCATAATTATTCAATCTGTATGCTGAGCAAATAATGACAAGCTGGACTATATGAAGAAGAACATGGCATCAGGATTGGAGGAAGACTCATTAACAATCTGTGATATGCAGATGACACAATCTTGCTTGCTGAAAGCAAAGATGACTTGAAACACTGATGAAGATCAAAGACTACAGCCTTTAGTATGGATTACACATTAACATAAAGAAAACAAAAATTCTCACAACTGGACCAATTAGTAACATCATGATAAAGAGAGAAAAGACTGAAGTTATCAAGGATTTCATTTTACTTGGATTCACAACCAAGTCCCATGAAAGCAGCAGTCCAGAAATCACATGAATATTACATCAGGAAAATCTGCTATGTCACAAAAGTGTTAAAGAACCAAGATGTCACTTTGAGGACTACGATGCACCTGACTCAAGCCATAGCATTTTCAACAGTCTTCTATGCATGTGAAATCTGGACAATGAATATGAAAAACCAAAAAAGAACTGATGCCTTTGAACTATGGTGTTGGCAAAGAATAATCTACGTACCGTGGACTTCTAAAAGGACAAACATCTGTCTTGGATCAAGTACAGCCAGAATGTTCCTTAGAAGTGGGGATGGTGAGATTTCACCTCATGTGGTTTGGTTATACTACCAAAAGAGACCAGACCCTGGAGAAGGGCATCATGCTTGCCAAAGGAGACGATCGGCAGAAAAGGGGAAGACTTTCAACAAGATGGACTAACAAAGAAGCTGCAACAATGGGCTGAAGCAGAGCAAGGTGAGGAAGGCACAGGACTTGGCAGTGTTTCATACTGTTGTACACATCTTATGGCCACTACGAGTCAGAACCAACTTGATGGCACCTAACAATAACACAGTTTGGAGCTAAGGTGACAATGTAAATTCATAAAGCAAGTGGCATAAAGATATCTTTATTAAAGTTATGCACATATATTAAACCTAGCAAATCATCCCTTGGATTTCAACAAATACCATAATAAATTTATTTATCTACATCTATCCTGGCCCTTCCCACACCCTCTTCCCTCCTGAAATGTACAACTGATGGCAGAAGAGGGGTCATCTCACAAAGCAAAGACAGATGACTAAGAAATTGATTTCAAAAGAAAGAAAACTAGCTGCCACTGAGTCCACTCTGACTCAGCCTCCTGTGTGTTAGAACAGAACTATGCTCCATGGTGTTTCCAGTGGCTACTTTTTGGGAAGTAAATCACCACACCCATCTTCTGAGGTGCGTGTGGGTAGACTTGAACCTCAAACTTCCAGTCTAATGGTTATCAGTCAAGCAAGTTAATTTAACCATTCTCATCACCCAAGGACTACAGGAAATTGATAAAATCTTGAAATTGACAAGGCAGTTTTGGATTACCTACTTCCAAGTCTTCTTGTATATTAGCAAAATAACCCTATCTTATTTAAGCCACTGATGTTAAAGATGTCAAAAGGAACTCTTAAGTAAGAGAATGAGGAAACTTTTCCTGGGTAGAAATTCAATTCTGAATCCAGATCTCTGGGCCTTTGGCCTAAGAATCCAAATTTCTAGAAAGCTCACCAGGTAATTCTAATGCAACTGGTTTAGAGGGCATTCATAACAAATAACAAATGATAAGGATTCTCTTTCATATGAAAAGCCAAATGGGTCTATATGATTTATATTTTCAACAGTGGTTATGGACTTATATGGGGACATTCATTCAGTGGTAGAATTCTCACCTCCTATGTGGGAAACATGGGTTTGATTCCTGACCAATGCACCTGAAGAGGAGCTACCAAATACCTACCAATGGAGGCCCGGGTGTTACTACGGTGCTGGCCAGGGTTCACTGGAGCTCCCAGACTAAGAGAGATTAGAAAGAAAAGCCTGGCAATCTACTTCCAAAAAATCAGCCAATGAAATCCTATGGATTTCCTATGGATCCTATTCAATCCCAAAGGGCATGAGGCCACCATGAATTGGGGTCTGACTTTATGGCAGCTAACAGTAACAGATTTATATCATGCTTTATACACAGAAGGTTTTCAACAAATGTTGACAGAAATGATTGTCCTCCAATCACTTAATCCTTATCCTTTCACTTAGTCCTGTCCTTATCCTGTGGCTGTTCATAGGTGGGAGCGTTTACTGCCAAGAACACAGAATGGGCTAACAAACCCAGGTGGGAGATCAGAATATGAAATTTTGATTTCAAGTGTGTACTCCCACCTAATGAGCTGACCAGTTTACAGATTGTAGTTCACCTTACTAATACATGGAACAGGAAATCTGAAGAGTTTTCTTAAACCAAAGTAGGTAAGACACTTTATCAACATTCACGAAAACAGAAAAAGACATTAAAGACCAAAATAAAAATTCCTAGTGATGGTATTCCTAGTGATGGTTTTATCCTGATAATTTAGTTAGTAAACACTTTGTTTTAGTAACTTTTCTTCAGCTTTCTCTGTTTACTCTGTTAAGACATCTCATATATCTAACATCATAGTCAAATTGCTGATACAATACGACACCCTAATCTAGAATGAAAACAATTATGAGAGTTTTGTTTTTCATTTATTTTATGCTGTTGAAGTATCATTGTGTTTTACTTTACTGACCAACAAATTCTTATACTTACTAATGGCTTATGAGGATATTAATTTTTTTCAAGTACTCATAACAAGTGCTCATATTATCAATACAAAATCTGACGCACTTCTTAACATTCTAAGCTTTAATTTATAAGAATTCTCATTAAAAATGTTACTTACAGATATTGCGTTACTTTCTGGTACTTCTTCATCATTAAAAATATCCTTTGATTCTATAATCAACCTTGGTTTTTTTCTGATGCTGACATCCTCCTCTTGTTTTTTAACTCTCACTTCACTTTCCAACTCTGGTTTTGTGTTCTTGAATAACTGTTCTAATACTTCATCTTCTATGGCCAAATCATCAATTTCTTTTCTTTTTTTTGATACTAGCTTTTCTGTAGGAAGAGATTTACCAGTGGGATTTTTCACATTAGATTTTAAATCTGTATCTGTAAATAAATTATCTGATTTTTTGTCCACAGACTCATTCTGAGAAGGATACTGCTCCTTATTTTTCCATGTTGAGAGTGTAGCCGGTTGTGTTTGTTCTAAAATAGAACAAGACATTTCTGTTCTTGTTGATTTGGGGGAAGACATTTCTTGATTTTCTTCATCTCTTTCCCTTGGATTTTTTAAAAAGGAGAGATAACAAAAACAGAAAATGAACCCAGCTAAGTAATTTTTTAGTTTAGCAATAGTTATCCCCTTTTCCCAGATATATAATTAACATATACTATTGATTTTATTAATTAACATAATCACTGCAAAGCAACAAAAAGACCTTTTAAAACAGTACACAATTCATATACATTCTACTGGGAGTTCTGGTGGCGTAGTGCCTAAAGCATGCGACTGCTAACCAGAAGGCTGGCGGTTCAAACTCACCAGCCACTCCTTGGAAGGAAGACTTGGCAATCTATTTCTGTCGTGATATGGCCTCGGAAACCCAAGGAGAGGTTGCTATGAGTTGGCTCCGACTCGATGGCAGTGTGTATGGTTTTTGGTGTCTGCTGTTTTGATGGGACTGATCAGCCCTGTGGCTGCAACTTTATGGAGACCGCTATTTTCTCTGCTGAAGCAGCATTAGTTGACAAACCAATGTGGAGGAAACAGTAGACTAAATAAAAATACAAGGGACCTGTTGCTAGGAGACAGCAGCTACTTTATAATGTAAGTAACTGGTGGTCAAGGAAACACATCCCCTGGGAACATAACCTGATGAGTTAAACAGATCTGATTGAGAATAACAAATCAGAGCTGCTAAAGCCGAAATATGGTACAGACTGCAGCCTGCAAATAACATGTGAATATTATGACCAAGAATTTTTCTATATAATATTGTATCATTTATTCTACAAACACTAAACATTTATTTTATACAAATTGTACTAAGTTCCATAAAGGACTCAAAGACTTTGCTCTCCAGGAATTTACTTGATTCATGCTGGTATTTTAATAACAGTGACATCATGTCAGGAGCCCTGGTGGCCTGACAGTGAAGTGGCTGGCTGCTAACCAACAGGCTGGTGGTTTGAATCCACCCAGCAGCTCTGTGGAAGAAAGTCCTGGTGATCTGTTTCTATGAAGATTATAATCTAGAAAACTCTACAAAGGGGGTGCTATGAGTCAAAACTGACCTCACAGCACCGAACTTAACAGTGTAAAGTCAGGATACAGGATGGACTAATACAGACTGATGGAGAGGTTCTGTAATAATTAAGGTGGTCAGAGTTTGAATCAGGAAGCTGGCAACAGAAAGAGAAGAACTTCATATGACCCCCGGAAATAAAAACCAACACTGTTAGTCTGGGGAAGCAGAGGAGAAAAAGTTAAAGATTACGATAAAGTGAACCACTAACAAAACGCAAAACATTCAGAGTGAAGAAGAGGTTTTCGGCATATTATTTAAGAAAATAGCAGGATGTTCCTGGGGAAAAGTGGAAGCTTAGCTTAAAGAAGCAGTTAGAGCAAACTGCCTGGTCATCTGTAATACAGTCCTGAAACCCTCAATGTGGAGCATGCAAAACAAGGAACAGTAGGGGAGGGAAGAGAAGTCCTTAAAGGGGACAAAGAGGAACATGAGAGAGGCAGAGGGGGCAGAAAGAACACCACCGCCACAAAGACCAAGAAAGGAGACCACAAACAAGAGAACAGTTCAGGAGCTGAACGCTACCAAAAGGTCACAAGTGTCAATAATTCCAATTTCAAGGATGTCATCTCAAGATGAAATACTCTGGTTAAGAAATAGTCCTTACAGAAATGGAAGCAATAACCATGACCTTCTTTTTGGAGAAGTTTAACAGTAAAGACTGTAAAGAAAGAAACAGGCTCTAGCTAAAGGAAGAAACCAGGTCTAAGAAAAGTAGTAAAACATCAAAGACAAGACTGAGCATTTGAAAGCAGAAGAAAAGGATTGAGAAGATACTAAAAAATGAGAAACAGCAAAGAACTGATAGAACATGATCCTACAGGAGGTGAGTGAGGAGATCACGGGGAAGAGGCAGAAACATCATTTGGAATTCAGGAGAAGGCTCTTCATCACTAAGGGAATAGATAAATAGAAGTGCAGCAAACGAAGTAACAGATAAGCTGAGGTACAGAGGAAGAAAGGAAGGGAGTCTACCTAAACTACAGAGGAGCAGCAGGAGAATAGGACCTTTCTTAGAGGGAATAAGGTTAAAAGGCCACAACATTCCACCGAAGCATACCAGAACACAGACTACTACAATAATATAAAACTACTACAATAATATAAAATACTAATATTTTTCAAACACAGAAGAATTATTGAATATATACCTTTTTTTGGTTGATGGTTGAAAGTAGTTTTTGATGGAGTTGGTCTGTTGGTACTGAGAAGCCCGATCTCCACTTTTACTTACACCTGGGAATTTATTTGGTGAAAGCTGATAGCCTGGGATTTTCATCTTAACCAGAGTATTTGAGACTGTCTTATTACGATTACAGCTTGCTCTGGGGGGTTCCTTTACAGTGGATGTTTCTTCTGAAAGCATTCTCAAGTTCTGATCCATTCTGGGTATCTTGATTTCTTTTGGCCTTTCACTGAAATCCATACTGCAGCGAAAGAAAAGAATGGAAGTTAAAAGTCAAGGCAACAGTAGCTTTCAGAGAAACAAAGTGCCTTTAACAGTTCTGTTGTAGAGCTGTAGAAGGTCATTATCCTTAGATAATAATCGAGTGAATATATTTTTGCCATTGTAAAAAACCAGTTCCTTTATTATATGAGCTCCTTCAAGGATGATACCTTATTCTTCTTTATCTGCTATAGCACTGCCAGGCATGCTCTACTATAAATAACTGCCGCCCACCAAACCCACTGCCATCAAATTGATCCGACTCATAGTAACCCTATAGGATCCTACAGGACAGAGTAGAACTGCTCTATAGTGTTTCCAAGGCTGTTAATCTTTATGAAAGTGGACTGCCTCATCTTTCTCACATGGAACGAACTGCCAACTTTTTGGTTAGCAGCCAAATTCTTTAACCACTATGCTACCAGAGTAAAAGTACCTATATCCATGCAAAAGGGCTATAAAAAGAAGTTTTTTAAATAAAAAAAATCAACAAACAGTAATTTACTATCATTCCAGTATCATGCATCATAGAGTATTTAGATCATTTGGGATATTTTTGTATGGTTATAGTCTATCCAGATGGCAGTCTCTGGAATACATTAACACTAGACTGGCAGAAATATTTTACACACACTTAAATATGGTCCTATAGCCTATGGCTAAATAGATATGACTTCCAAACCAAACTCACAACTGTCTAGTCGATTCCTATAGGATACAGCAGAATTACCTCATAGGGTTTTCAAGGCTGTAAATATTTACAGAAGTAGACTGCCACATCTTTCCCTCATGGAGCAACTGGTGAGTTCAAACTGATAACCATTTGGTTAGCAGCCAAGAGCTAACAAGCCCACTGGGCTCTGAATAGATACTACCTTTGCTATTCTTATTTCACAAAAAAACAAGGAATAAAGGTGTTGTTAAAGTGACTTTCAAAACAACTGTTTCTTTAAAAAATTAAATCTGGCCACAATATAAAACAGAGGTGTAGTAAAAATGAAAATATGGTTTAATATAGATGTCATATGTATACTTCAACACGAACACCTTTATTATGGGATATTTAAAATAAAATACAGTCTTAAATGAAAGATAAAACAGAACAAAGAAGAGCTACTCTCCTCCTCAAGAATCCCCTCTTCAAATAGAAAACCCCTGAAAAGCTAGCTTTACAAACATCAACCACTTAGACATCTAGTAGACAAATATAAAAAGTAGTATAATTCTTTGTAGCTCTCCATTAACATCTTCATGGAATGAAAAACAAAACAAACACTTTATCCTAAGACAAGGATTGGCAAACTGTGTCTTGCAGGCCAAATCCAGCTAACCACTTGTTTTTTAAATAAAGTTTTATTGGAACATAAATTCATTTATGAATTTCACACTCATTCATTTATGAGTTGTCTATGGACGCTTTCATATTACAGTGGCAGAGCTGAGTAGTTGACACAGAGACCAAAGCCTGGAAAGCTGAAAAAATTTACTCTCTGGCCCATTACAGAAAAAGTTTGCTGACTTCTATCCTATTATTTTCCCTGACATCATACTTTACTATGTTTTATCTCCCAACAGATATACTGAAAAAGGCAATGACTTGACTTCTTGAATATGCTTTTAATTTACTGACAGACTACCAACAATATTTTGTTAACAAAGAAACTTGACCATGTGTCCACTTGCTCCGATTCTGTCTCAGGTACGCAGGTTGTGGTATTCACCAGGACACTTGGCTGTCGTTTTTCGTTGAATGACAAGCCTTGGGAAAGGCTTGGCCCTGGAGTAGTTGGCTTTAATCCTGTAAAGCACACAAGTGAGAAACAAAAGTCATAAGTGCTAGACAAAAGAAGGGCATTTGGTTACATTTCTTCTTCCTTAACTCCTCTAGGCCAATTAACTATTACGTTTTCTACACTTTACTTTTTGCATTACAGCTATGGATTTTCTTTCTTCTTACTTTGCAATAGTCCATTCCTGTCTCAGCTACCTGATCAGAAGTTCTTAGTGATGTTGGATCCCCTGCCAGTAGCAGGCACAGCATTTGTTTATAGTAGGTCTGAATATTTGTTTAATTGAACAAAGTTATTGGGGCACAAGATTATCTTTGCCAGTGAGGAACAACAAAAGTTAGTCAGTGGAGCCAAAAAAAAAAAAACCCTAACAAAATAGTCTATAAACTGCCTATTAGCATTTATGATGGTCTTATTTAAACCAAATCATTTTAAAGCTACTTCAAATCTTTTGTGGTAAAAATATCAATTTAAATAATATTAAAATCAACTTAAATTCCAATTCAACTTATGCTTTCAGTCAGTAGACTACACAATTATAATTTCTCCCCACATAAGTTTATATTAACATCTACACAAATCAGAATTACACAATGTGAGTTTTATTTTTAGAAGGAATATGCTATTTGAAATGAAGGCATTTAGAAATTTAGACATTTTTGGCTACTCCAGAAAACCATAATGATCATTACCTCATCATTTTACTTACTCAAATAGCATCTTAGTTCAAGTGCTCTTCCCTGAGATACCCAAACCTGTCACAATGAATTAGGTACCCATCATTTCTGCTCCCATACTACCCTGTGCTTCACTCTGTGAACATACTGATCACTACTAAAGTCCCTTGTTATTTAACCTCTCTGTGTCTTAGTTTCCTCATCTGTAAAATGGAGGTAATTATAAAACCTTCCCCACAGAGTTGCTCTGAGGGCAAAATGAATATACAAGGTGTGTCTGTTAGTTGCTGTTGAGTTGGCCTGTGACTAACGGTGACCTCATGTGTTACAAAGCACAACTTCTCCACAGGGTTTTCTTGGCTGTAATCTTTATGGAAATAGTTCACCAGGCTGTTATTCCATGGAGACACTGAGTGGGTTTGAACCACCAACTTTTGGGTTAGTAGTCAATCATAAGCCATTTGTGCCATCCTTAGCACTTAGAAAGGTGCTTGTTACACAGTATGCACCATGCATGTATTAGATGCTATCATTATCATCAGTTTATGCTGTTCTTGCTTAGTTGTAACTTTCCCTTATTAGACTGGAATCTGCTTGAGAAGAGGGATGAGTGTTATTCCTCTATATTTCCAGTGCCCAGAGCAACTTTGGTACATAGTAAATATAAATAAGTTAATGAAATTAAATTGTTAAGTGAAAAATTTTTTAAGTTAACATCACAGGATGTGTTTAATAAATGTTCATTCAAACAAAAAACCAAACTCATTGCCATCGAGGCGACTCCGACTCATAATGACCACCACTGGGTTTCCAAGGCTGTAAATTTTTATAAAAGCAGATTGCACAGCAGCTGGTGGGGTCCAACCACCAACCTTTTAGTTAACAGCCAGATGCCTTAACCACTATACCACCAGAGTTCCTTACTGATTCCAAATTCAATTACTTAAATTATTTCTACCGTTTCCTTCTATGACACCTCATTAAAAGTTCATTGGCATTTTCTTAAAGACACATGTGCCTGCAAAGAAATACAAAGAAAAACAGTAACAAATACATAATCACTAAAAGAAACACATCTATGGATCTAACCTAATGGTTCAAAATAACTGGTGTTTGTTAACAGTAAGATTATCTACAATGTTCTCCTTACGAAAAATACCATGAGAATAGGGATTTGGTGGGATCTGCTTACCTCTTTATTCTAAGTACTGCTCAGCACAGTTACATGCATATAACAGCTACTCGATAAATATTTGTTGAATAAATGTTGTTGTTGTTAGGTGGCACAATTGTCTCCGACTCACAGCGACCTTAGGCAAAACACAAGGAAACACTGCCCAGTTCTGGGCCATCCTCACGGTCCTTGCTATACCTGAGCCCATCGTTGTAGCCACTGTCTCAATCTATCTCATTGAGGGCCTCCCCTTTTTCATTGACCCTCCACTTTACCAAGCGTGATATCCTTCTCCAAGGAATGGCTCCTTCTGACAACATGACCAAAGTAGGTGAGATGAAGTCTGGCCATTCTCGCTTCCAAGGAGCATTCTGGCTTCACTTCTATCAGGACAGATTTGTTAGTCCTTTTAGCAGTCCATCTTACTATCAACATTCTTTGTCAACACCCCAACTCAAAAAGCATCAACTCTTTTTCAGTCTTCCTTATTCACTGTCCAGCTCTTGTATGCATAAGAGGTGATTAAGAATACCATGGTTTGGGTTAGGTGCACCTCAGTCTTCAAAGAGACATCTTTGCTCTTCATCACCTGAAAGAGGTCTTTTGCAGCAGATTTGCCCAATGGAATATCTCATCTGATGTCTTGACTGCTTCTTTCATTGGTGTTGATTGTAGAACCAAGTAATATGAAGTCTTTGACAACTTCAATCTTTTCACTATTTATTGTGATGTTGTTTACTGGTCCAGTTCTGAGGATTTTTGTTTCCTTTATATTGAGGTGTAATCCATACTGCAGACCGTGGCCTTCAATCTTCATCAGTAAGTACTTCAAGTCATCTTTACTTTCTTTTTTTTTTTTACGTTTTTTAAAATTGTGATTTGGGTGGAAGTTTACAGAGCAAATTCACTTTCCATACAGCAGCTCACATACACTTTTTCTCATGACATTGACTACAATTTAGCCCAATGCAACAGCCCCCCTCCCACTTCCTCCCTATAGTTGCCTCTTCCCTGTGTCCTCCCCTCCATGCACTCCTGCCCTCTGATCTGTCTCCTTGCACATACACAGCCCTTCTATTTTCCCATGATTGTTCTCTCCAAGCAGTGTATCTACCTAATACAAATGTTCAGCTCATATGCTTGGCTTTTGTTTGGCTGGAAGCCACAGGAGTGGGTTCAACTCCAGACCTGAAGCCACAGTCTCAGGGGTTCCACCAGGCACTATCAGACCAGCAAACCTGCCCCCCTTTTTTTTTTATTAAATGATTTTGAGTTTCATTCCCCATTATTCTCCTACTCTATCCAGGATCTCCTACACAGATCCCCCTCCAAGTGGCTGACAGTGGTAGCCAGGCACCATCTAGATCTTCTTTTTTCATAGTCATATAGGCTGAGGATCACATGGTGTACCAGTCGCTTGGACTAATTGTTTCCATGAATCTTTGGTTTTCTTTATTCTTCTCTGCTCTGGATGA